GACGTCCTTGGTATCGGGTACGTCTGGCCGGCCTGGTGCTTTGGAAGTAAAGTGTTGGAGTGGCGAGCGAGGTGCTTTGAGTTCGGTTTGGAGTGTTCCGAGCTGCTACGGGTTAGCTCGGGTCAGCTTTGTGAGGCTTGGGGCCCAATACAGTTCGTGCTCCTCGCAGGGAACTCGGGTTCTCAGGAGGGAGCTCGCTCTTATCAGGGAGCTCGGATTTAGGAAGCTCAGGTTCTTTAGGGAGCTCGGGCTCCTAGTACCGAGCTAGGACTTAGGGAGCTCGGGTTTTTAGGGAGCTTGGACCTTTAATAGGGAGTTCGCTCTTAACAAGGAGCTCGGACTAAGTACAGCGGTCTGGAGTTCGGGCTCGGTAGTGAGTTTGGACTTGCTTTCGATGTTCGCTTTGGTTGCTCTACTGTCCCGAGCTGCTTGCCTTTGCCACGTGTCGGGCGATCGCGAGGTCGGGCCAAATTTCCCTTAATCAGGCTTGTTTTTGAATTACTAGGAAACCAAGCTGAAGCTCGACCAGAGCTTTAAACAATTTTAACATTGAAATGGATCAGATTAATTTGATCGAGACCCACGTCAAATCAGGTGATGGGACGATGATTTATCCAGGGTTAAATTATTGAGATTTTTAGTGTTCAATCCACCTCAGAATTATTGTTATTTTAGCATCCGTTTTGGGTGGGCCTTCACTCTCAACTCTCAAGTCTCAACACCCCTGTGTTTTATTGGGCAAAATCAAATGAGTACTGATTATCCCTGTGGTTGGTTTATGGATTCCCAGTGCCAAGTTAGCGAATGCTAGTGCTATGTCAGTTGGTGATGCAAATGAATGCCCGATGCAAGTGGGCCAATGAATCTGACTAAGCCCAATCCACAAAGAGTATTGGTAGTGATGCTGTTTGATTCGAGGTGGTGTACAAACCGAGGAAGAAGATAGTTAGATAATCTTTGTCAATAGGGCGGAGCTGAGGTGATAGGACGGAGTCGTGCTTCAAGACCTGTGATCAAGAAAGAGTGTTAGAGGCCTGAGGAGTTATCCCTGTATAGATACTCCGACGTTCAATTCAGTAGAGGGTGGTAAATGGTCGGGCCGAGCAATAAAGGTGCTGGTCCGAGCATAGTAACAATATGGATGCTAAAAATCAGAATCCCTTACCTTGAGCAAGAGATACATTTTTATTGCCGGAGGTCCGTGTTCTAATCGGATTGAGCTTCCAGGGTTACTGGGATGAGGTTAACCACCGAGGTCTTTGAGATAGAGTCCTATTCCCCAGTGGAATTGTCCTCCTCCCTCTTCCTATCCTTGGTTGTGCTTATCTGCGTAAGGTGTAGCTGATGACCTGATGTGGTTGAGTAGATAAAATGGGGGGCTATAGTAATAGCGTAGTACGGCTGGGGCCATGGAATTGTTATATACTGCAGAGCTAGCTGGGGTGATCGGGCGATGATTGGGCAGCCACGTATCGCCTAAGGCCAGCTCAACCATGACCTGAACAGGTGGTCATCAAGCTTGGTTTCTGTGCGATTAATCCCCTTCAGCTTGGTTTCTGTACCGCAAGTGCAATTCCATTAGTTTAGTAAGAACTGGTTGGGTTTGAGGCATCTCACACTTTCTCTCTCCAATGGAATATGGGAGTGTCTTCACTTAAACAAACGACCTAATTCGTGAATTAAGAACTGCTTCAGCATTAATAAAATTAGGGATATGGAGTATCAATTCTGGTTATTGGGGGGAATACCTGCAGGTAGCAAAGCTGGGGGTTCATTAATCAAAAAGGTCAGAAAGTTTTAAAAAATGGTTCAGCCCATTCCGTAACGCAACATGTTTTGGTGAGGTTTGATTTGTTTGCTTATTGAAGTTATACGGAGCAGAGTAGACGCGCCAACTACGTGTTTGTATTGAACTCCTGACGCATTCATGGTGGTGAGATTGTAGGTGACGGGATCTGTTACTCACAAATGGGCGCTTCACATGCACATCCATCGTGTATTAGGAATATTTTCCCGTACTTATTCACGGGAAATGTTCCCGATGCATGGTAAAATATACGTATGAGGCGCCAATTGTGAGGAGCAGATCCGATCTCAGATTGTAGGTGGGGGGAAGAGGGGGCGGGGTAAAACCAGAGACCAGAGTCCGCGTCTCTCCATGTTTGGCAACTCTAGGAAAGCCTGAGACGTGGGATCCGCTGAGATGATGATACGCCATCTCCATACAAATAAGAAAGTGGGATATGGGATCAGCTATGATGTCGTTTAATTAGGCATCTGTTTGAAACCGTTGCTGTTGCTCCAGAAAATTGCACCACATCAGCGCCATGTAGGAGAAAATGGTGTTCTAGGAAACAGACTTCTGTTTGGAACTGTTTTTACATAGAAAATGGTGTTCTAAGCCATGTTTTGGAAATCAAGAAGCATGGCTTGGAACAATGTCAAATTTGGCATTTCTTGGAGCTGCAGCTCGTTGCTGCCAACAGGGCAGTGATGTGGCAGTGGATAATGGGTAGAAGTGTAGAAAACGTTTCCTGGAGCATTGGTATTAAACAGAAAAAATTGCTGTTGCTCCAAGAAATGTCCTACCTGGCAGAAACGATTCCAAAACAAAAAAAATGCTCAGTTGAGAAAATGGTGCTCCAAGCCACACATCAGCGGCACCAAGAAAATGGTGTTATAACTGTAGCATCGATGCCAAACATATACTAGGTGGGTGGAACGGCTGTTTCCGTTTTAGTACTTCCAGAAGAACAGAAAATGAATTTGGTGGGTGAGTTTTAACTTTATAGCATTGCAGGTTCCAGTTTTGCAGAAACATAGCATTTGTTTTGCATTGACACCATTGTTCCAGAAAACGGTGATACATCAACGCCACGTTGGAAAAAATGGTGTTCCAGGAAACATTTGTTTGTTTGGAACCGTTTTTCCATAAAAAAATGGTGCTCCAAGTCACGCTTTGGAAATCAAGAAGGTGTGGTTTGGAGCAACGCTGAATTTGGTGTATTCTCAAATTGTAGCTTGTTGCTGCCAACGAGAACGTGATGTGACAGTGACATGGACTTCCTATAATAGGTACCAGTGTTGAAAATAGACATAAAGGCTGGAGCACTGTTACTAAACAGAAAGTGTTTCTTTTGTTCTATAAAACGTTCTACTTGGCAGCAACATTTCTAAACAGAAAAAAAACATTGTTTTCTCAAAAAATGATACTTCTAACCCGTACATCAGCAGCACTGGTGTTGTATCTACAGCATCGATGCCAAACATATACTTAAAATAAGAGACCAAATCAACCCCCCACAACGTGTCCCACAGCACATCCCCACCATGTATTAAAAACATCTCTTGATGATGAGATTATTATTTTTGAAATTATCATTGGAAGATATTCCCAATACACAATGAGAATGTACTATGGGAAGTTGTGGGGGGCAAATTTGAACTCCTTAAAACAAGACTGGTAGGAGGAGCGGACGACGGACGATGTATGATGTGATCTATGTATCTATAATCTATAAGTGAAAAAGGAATGATTTTCTGGCATTGGCACTTTATTTATTTATTTTTTTGAAAGTGGCAAGAAAGATAGAAATTAGGAGGTTGCTTGCATAAGCTTTTGTGATCGCTCAAAAGCAACTACAAAGATGGAACAACGATATCTACTTTCTTCGAAAAGCAAATAAAAGTTTTTTTTTTTTCCTCTAGTAATACTTTTTTGGTGCATGACGTCTTCGAAGCAGGGCCCACCCATTCCCATGTATGATCTAATAGTGAATTCCAATGTCGTCTCCGCAAACCGCAGATTTAGAGCCTTCATGTACAAGTATTTACCAGACCGGAATTTGGTATGAATACTCGGTGGGAACACAGAATCAGCAGCATGCGAGATCAGATCTCTGTCCACCAAGTGTGCTTAATAAGTGATTAATGCCTTTTTCCCCTTGTGGGCTTTGTACTTGTCTGCTGAGCCCAGTGATGGTTTTCTACTTTTTTCTCATATGTAATTAATAACATACGAATAAGTATTAATATAAAAATATAAATATTAATCATATAGGACATATGGTATTTTGGATTAAATTCTATTACATTAATGCAAACCAAATGTTTAAAATTTAATAAGGTGGTGTTTACCTGTTTGGTATCAAAGATTCAAAGCCAATGCCTGAAATCAACAATTTGACTTATAGAAATTCATGAGCAAAGTTGAATCCAGCACAAACTCCCAGGTTCTATTATTTATTTCTATTAAGACACATAGCTGACATTAAGTGCCACGTAGGAAATATGTTTCTCTTCACAATAAACAAGAAAAAAAATGAATTCTAAAAATATTGATTTTCACTGAAATGGAGGTAAAGAATTGCAACTACGTTTTGAATAAAACCAAATAAGAAATGTCATTGCATGTTTGAACTGGGAATGGCACTTTGTGAGACAGGTGTAATATGCCATCGAATGCGCTCATCCTTAGAGCTTCTTATCCTTGACTTACTTTAGCTCGTGGGCCTGGGGCCTTGGCCCCTTATCATTAAGGCTCACTCAGTTTGGATTTTGGAAAGAGTAAAAATACAAATAATACAAAATATGAGCTTAAGAGTCTTCTCTAACCAAAAATGAAAAAGAAAAAGAAAAAAAAATAAATAAAGAATCCAAATCCAAGAGTTGGGAGATGCAAAAATAACATTTTCATTAACATATTATCAACATTATTTTAAAACTTATGGAGGGCGTGAGAATGGGGTGGTGTGAAAAAGTTTACAATTTGATCCACTCAGATCCGTCAATGAAGCTCAGTGTGATAAAAGGCTTGGCCTCCTCATCTGTGAGTTCTCTGGACCATGAAACTCTTCCCGCGTAGCTTGCTCCAGGTCCTGTACATTTGTACTGTCCATAGAACACCGTCCTATAAACACAACAACAACAACAACTCAATAAAGATAACAAAATTGAATCGACCCCCATTTGCAATTTTTCATCAACACAGATGACAGACCTCCCCAGCCGGGGGTCAAGGTTAGGTGGGCTCTGTTTTCTTTTCATCTTTTAAAAAAAGAGAGTGCGCTACACATGTATTGCACTAGAAAAGGTGAAGACACGTACATAGTTTAATTTTGTCACCCCATCAGTAGTTTGGTCATGGGCCCAGTTCTGCTCATAGTCGTTTTGTTAGAACAGAGTGGGAACTGGGAAGGAGAGAGGGTTTGAGGGGTCTGTAGAAAGTGAAAATGACAAAATCCAAACTGAGACGTTTCATAAATGGATCAAATGAGTTTGACAAAAGGCTTGTAGTTTTCCCACTGTGCAAAAAACTGAGTGGCCACCGCCCTGCCCTGCCACTATGTTAGTATAAGAGAGACGACAACATTTGGTAGGGCTAGGGCTCTGAGATTATACAGAAAAGTTTGTGAACAGTGCTGAGTCCGGACTCATTTCATGATCATGGCATAGTAATTAGGGTCTGGTAGTGGAGAAAGTGGCCACCTAATCGACCCCATTTTAACAATGTTTGGATGGTCACTTAACACTTTGCTTTTGGTTTGGTGGTGTTGGTGGCGGTGGCGGCAACAACTATAACAATATTAGCCTTTTTTTTTTATTGGGAGGGGGAGGTGTAAAATGTTCACTTGATATGCGCTGAAATTGCAGATTCCAAATTTGAGGAAAAACACAACACAGAGAGAGAGAGAGAGAGAGAGAGAGCTTACATTTCCCTGTTGGGGTCTCCCCAGTTATACCAGCCTTTGGGAATGACAATATCGTCCATGTACGTGTAGGCAAAAACGACCCTAGAGAATGTACCCCATGCCCTCCCGAGGTAGAGAGCTCCTGAGCCCGTGACCCTACAGTTCACAAATGAAAACCCCGTGTCTTCCAGTAGACTCATCCTGTTTTGGGCAGTTACTGCCCCATAGTTCTGAGCAATTGCATGCACATTACATCCCTGCCAAGAAGTCATGAAAACACATTACCCATTAAGCCATCATCTTCTGAATCTTTTTTTTTTTTTTTAACTGAACTCACCACCCCATTCACCATTCACTCTTCTCCTAATTAAAGAAGCACATGTGCCCCGGCCCCCGGCCATTCCCTATTCCAGGCTAGCTAGCTGGCTAAAAGGGGACCAGGCTGTGGATGCTGATACCATCCAGGCTATTAAGTAAGAATAAGCCTACCCATCTTTAGCAAAAAGAATGGATCGGTGCGGTGGTTATTAGGCCTTGGGCCCAAGTCCTAAGTCCTAACATAAGTCTCACTCTATACATTCATGGCTTATTAGAGTCTTGGCAGACGGGTTGGGCTGGGCTAAAAACAATTATGTATACAAAGGCCGAACTAGGTAAACAAGATCCAGAAAAACTGGGCTGGTCCCCACAGTGAGCAGGTCAGATGATGAAGAGAATTTCAACCTAGCATCCTCACTTCTTTCGGATCATTCACTCACATGTACTCGTGGATTCAGTGAGCCTTCTTGGTTGGGAGTTCCCCACAAGAAAGTGGGTCCCACTCTTCACGTGTAAATTGTGTATGACTTTTCTGCAGGTGTAGGTTCTATAAGATACTCATATAGAGGCTGCAGTTCAATTAAGAGATGCTATGTTGGGCAGTTGGACTGGCACTGCTAGATGCTAATGCCCATTTCAAAGTGGGATATGGGTGTTGTCTAGATCCCAATTTGACGACAGAAAATTATGCTTCATTGCTTCGGGTTGGGAGTTGGGACCCCTTCCTTGAATCCAACTCCTTTACTCAGCACCAGTTTATTTATTTATTTTTTTTTATGTTTTAAGACAGAGCAAAATGAGAGAAATTTCCCCTTCTCCGGCCTCTCTCTTGCTTATTGAACTGATGATAAAAACACTCGAAAAAACAAACGGTTTATCTTTATCAAGAATATTCTTGATGTAAAATGTTGGTTGAAAAGAGATGATTTCTTTACAAGTTTGAGATTGTGCTAAAAGGAGAGAATCTGTTTTCACAGGATTGATTGATGCAATGAGAAAAGAGATGGGTTTGTCAGGAATGGTGCATAAAATATGAGAAACCAACCTCAAACAGTGACAGGCCATTGCCAAAGATGAAATCCACGGAGCCTTCAATGTAGCAGTCTTTGTAATAGTGCCTACCCAGATGATCATAGAGTGTATCCTGTGCGCCCAAGAATCTACAACCCAAAAAGGCTGCTGTATCTCCTGAAATTCTGAATGCTACTGCTTGCTTTCCAACTGCTCCTGGAGGTGGAAGGGGGTTTGTGTTCTGCGCCACATGTTTGTGTTTATCAGGATTCATGATTCGGGGGGGGGGGGGGGCAGAGAGAGAGAGAGAGAAACAGAAATGTTAGGACTTTTCTTTTCAACCAAAAAACAGGACATTTGCAATTTTACCTTCAAAGTGATGTTCTTAGCTATAAAATAAGCGGAATTCACAGCAAAAGTCGCGGAATTGAAGGTACCAATCGGTTGCCCTCTCGGCCCAAGCGTTTGAGCTGTGTCTCCCCATTGAACAATTGTTTTATCTGCTCCTGCTCCTTCTATGGTTATGAAAGATTTCAATGGTGGTATATTCACCTTCTCCCTGAAAGTTCCATTTTATGGAATCCAACCTAAGTCACATTTTACCAATAATTACAATACAAAGAAAGCGAACAAGAAGAAAATGTGGAAAAAGGACATTTCATCAGATATAAAACAACGAAACAACAAAAACAAAAATAATAATAATAATATAAATCACTCTGTTCTATGAAACTCCACTTTTTTCATAATCAGACTGTTTACTTTTGTCACACTGAACAAGAAAAGAATCAACCAGACCAGAGTAGAGACAAACTCTCGAATCCATAAATAAATTGATACAGGCCCAATTGGAAAAGAACGGAACAACAGAATAAAACACAATCAAAACTAATTAGGGAATCAATACTCCAATACTCACGTATAAACTCCTGCATTGACCTTGATAACCACCCTAACAAGATTGATGAATGGAAGTGAATCGATGGCGTCCTGAATTGAAGTAAAATCTCCGGCAGCTGGATTTTTACTAACAGTAAGAATATAAGATGGGAAGAGCTTGTTCTTTGCTGTGGAGAAGAGTGAGTGTTTAAGGCTTGCAACAAATTTAACCCACTTCATGAATTGCTGTTCTGCCAACTGGGTTTTTGTCACATTGGTCGACAAATTCACGCCCGCTGACTTCCTCGGTCGGACACCTTTGGTGTGGCACAGCGTTTGGTTTGGATTAAGGAGGAGAAGAACCAGAGTAATACACAACATACGTCGTAAATTCGACATTGACGTGGAGAAAGGGCCGGGAAGGGGGGCGGTGGTGGGGGGTGGAGCGAGGGAAGGAGAATGAGAATGTTGTTGAGAGATGTATTACGAGAGTAGGGCTTATTGAAAGCATTTTATAAACAAACCTGTTTTTCTCTTTTAGGTGGAATGACAGATGTTTAGCAGAGACTATCAAGTGAAAATATGGGGGTCACGGGTTCTTCTATGTTCTAATTGCATTGAAGGAAGGATGGAGAGAGAGAGAGAGAGTCGTCATGGACTCACAAGGAAACAATTTACGCCACAAGACAGACTCCTTTTGATTGTTTATTGGTTCTTGTTTTCGCTTTTCTTCTTGTTGGTACCCGTGACCGTGAGTGAGTCTCTCTCTCTCTCTCTCTCGCGTCTCTGTTTGTGTCATTGTGTGTGGAGGTGAATATATTCGTACTGGACCATGAGACGGTTCCACATCATATAATACCCCACCCTGCGCTTACATGTTTGATTGTTTTCCCTCTGACTGTCACAAGGGTGGACCCAAGACCAAGAGTAAGGTGGACCCATGAAGGAATGATGATCACGACCATCCAATCAGAATCAAGAAACAAAAAAGACCATAAATATTCTGCCCCACAGTGGCCCACATTGTTTATATACATGTCAAAAGACTCATTCCAAAGCTCTGGATTTGTTACAACTTACATGTGGGGAGCATGGGTTTTTTCACTTACCCATTTTTGCGCTCAAATTTAAGTCCTAAATTTTGATTTTCCAAGTTTGTTTGGTAGCCATACAAGGGAATCTTGTTTGGGAAAGATAGTGGACAAAATTTTAGCCCAAAATGCTCCACCACCACCTCCACATCAATTTCAATTCCTACTGGCAAAGGTAGCCTCTGCTTCTTGCTTTTATTAAGATGAATTGAGAATATATAAAGGCAATATGATTGCTGGGAAAGCTCCAATACAAGGCAATATTTTAGGAACCCGTCTGGCTGTCAACCAGAGCCTGGAGGGTTTGCCGGGTGGCAAGTTGGTCGGTTCAACCGGCTGGTTCGCCAAGTGAAATGGTCAGAACTATCCAAATCTTATAATTCGACCTGGTATCTCACTGAGTCACTGGTTCGACCATCTGGGTCTATAATGTCAGGGTTCAGTTACTAATAAAGTTTAGCTTAATGTGAATTGTGAATTAGGATGCCCATAGGCACAGGGTATCTGATATGTAATGTAGGGGCTGCAAATGATACCTCTCATATCTGTTTGTCCAAATTTATATTTGAAACCATATCCAACTGAGGCGGTTTGGATCTGATTTACTTATAATCAAAATGGATTGAATATGGATATCTCCCCAGTCCGATCTCACATTGATCTGATCCCATAATATTTAATTTTTGTATATACTTGTCTATATAAAATATATATGCAATTATATAAAATGTTGGTTTTAATATTTATATTCATCAAAATTCAAACATTTATAGGGTTCAAATATGACACAAGTTAATTTTAAGCCGCCATTTCTAGTTAATTTATTAACAAAATATAAAATTTTGATACAGTATGCAAATCTGATCTGAATCCCAAGGAAAAGATCGGCCGGTTCAAATACAAATTAATATTAATGGGATCAGTCAAGAAACTCTGAAAACGAAAGTTTGACGTATACTGATGCCTTTATCCATAAAATTAGGAAGAGATATTGAAAAGAACGGAAGTAGAACAAAAATTAAGGCAGTGGATGTGTTAGATAGATGAACCCAAATAAATAAAAATGGAACAAGTCAATAAGCTGATGGTGATGAGATTCTCAAAGCACTTAATTTTATAATTTTGATTTCTTGGTTTAGTTATTATTGGAAAAGAAAGCTGGTCGCTAGCTAAGAGATGGTAGCACAGGGTGGTGATGATCGAAGGTGAACCATGAATGGACACATTGGACTAGAATTCTGGACCACGCAAACTTTGTCAATTCATCATGATTATATATTCAACAAATTCTCTGAGTTTTAATTTGTTCACAGGCTAATGAACGTATCATAATCTTGTCAATTCATGAATAAATAGTACAAACAGTAGATAATGCATCACAAAAAGTACCCAAATATTTTTGTTTTGTTTTTTAGGTAACAGATGAATTAAAGAAATTCAAACCATTAAGGTTGATACAACTCTATTTGACAGTCAGCCCACCAGCACCTCCTGAGGACAAAAGAAGGACAATGGCCACACCAAATACCTCTCTGCTCTCGCCAGACGACGACGGTGGGCCAAAACTATTAAAACTAGGATTAATGAAAACGAAGATACAGACATGAAAACATGAGATTAATTACAAACCCGACAGATATCATGGATAACACTGACTTGTAATGTCAAGATCACAACAAGGTTTCCTTGAAGCTTGACCAACCACGGCTTTAGGGCTTTACAATTCGAGAATACCAGGACTTGAGAGAAATTCCAGCAGATAATTAAAGGGCAACTGGGCAGAGCTTCAGAGAATTTCGCTGATCGATCGAGGGAAATCTGCATGTCATAGAACAATAACCCGCTACAAATACAGACTGTTGCTACTGCAACAAAACCAAAACCAGCAAAAACATTTTCTGATGACATAGCACCATCCACAGGAAGGATGTTTCCCAAAACTAAACTTGTGTGTGCTGACTGCTGAGCGAGCATTTGGACTACTTGCCGGGTGCAGGAGCTGGAATGACTGGAACCTGAGTTTGGATCCTCCCACTCCCACCCCAGGGGCCTGGATACGAAGATCCCTGCATATCCCAATGCAAAACACTGAAAACAGGAAATATATATATATATATATCATTAGGAGTTTAGGACTACTTCATTATCCAGATCGGCTCACACCATACTGACGGCCTCTTGCAATCTTGCATCGAGAATATCTATCTCCCCATCCCTCAAATAAAGCAGGATATTCTCAATGCAAGACTATAAAAGGCTGCTCGAACTAACGGACGCCGAACTCGTCATCAAAGATCTAATTTTTTTTTTCCAGATTGCCCAGAGGAGGCTAGCTCAGCTTTCAGCTTTTGAGTTAAGTAACCAGATAAACCAATCAAATAAGGATAAACCAGCAACACACTCAGGAAATGGCAAACCAAACCAGCAAGCTCCAGCGAAATCACAAGAACATATCGCATGTTCAGTGGTATCAACTCCACATTGACAGATATGGCAAATATAAATATTAATAGAGGTTACTAGACTCGTTTCCAGAGATTGTAACCCACGGGTACCCTCAGCACAACCAAACCATGCATTGGGAACATCTCCCGTATATGTTCCCAATACACGCTCATATGTGCATGTGGGACGTGATCACATCTGTGCCCCACAGCACATCCAAACTGTACGTTGGGAACATCTCTCGTATATGTTCTCAATGCACGCTAAGTTGTGCATATGGGGTGCAAATGAGTTCAAATCAGCCTCCCACAACATCCTAGAGTACATCCCTGCCGTGTATTGGGAACATCTCCCGATGGTGATGTCATCATTGGAAGATGTTCCCAATACACGGCAGGGATGTGCTATAGGGGGCGGATTTAGACTCGGTGCAAATGTGGAGATCGGCTTTCATCAAGGCAAACTTGTGCCCACACAGTTCTAAGAGTCTTTCCCAACTTTGCATTGGGAATATTTTTCACATAAATATGGAGATATTCTCAATAGAAGGCAATAAAGGCCGCTAGATTGGTTTTGCACTGATTGAAGTTGAACTCGTAGATGTGAATTGATGTGAGGCACGCTGTATGGGGTGCAGAAGTGAATTCCTTTAAGGGAAAATTCTTGATAGGTACCCTGTACTTTAGGTCCAATGCCAATTCAGTACCTGTACTTTAAATCGCATCAATCTATTATCCAAACTTTTAATTTGTGACAATTTGGTAGCTGACGTTAAATTCCTACCAGTTAAAGAACTCACGTGATATCAGGTGCGGGTTAAAATTTTCGAAATGCCAAAACTACCCTTTACGAAAATATAAGGACCTTTTCTCTTCATTCTAGGTTTAATGAACGAAAGAGGAGAAGAGAGCCAACCTTCTTCTTCATTCCTAGCACTTCCATTCCATAATTACCCATACCCTGAAAACTCCAATACCAGAGCTGCGCACAGATCTGAACCTCCCGCTGTGTTTCAATTTTATCATCCTTTTATTCCTAATTTTCTTGAATGAAAATGAACCTATCTTCTCTCGTCGGCATCCGGCTTACCTTGCAATGAAAACTAGACAAGATGGCTAGAAAGTTAAAGAGAGGGGAAGAGACGCACATTTAGGGATAGAGAGCCACTGTGAGAGAAAGAGGGCGATGGAGATGGAGCGCTTGCTATCTCGCCTATCTGGAGGAACCAATGCGCATCTTAGGCGGTAAGGCTTCTTTCCTATGGATGCCAAGGAGGAGACGAGATGGTTTGGTTCCATAGGATGAAGGAATGTGGCATTGGAGAGGCCACTAAGGCGAACGTTGGTCGGAGTCATTGCCATGTCGAAAGAGCATTACAATTGTTCCGACTAGCTCTGCTCTGTCTGCTATTCTAAAATATGGTTGTGGATAGCGGTAAACCGAGGTGTCGTCCGAAAGAGACAGACAGGTGTCTTATCCGTTTATAGCCGGTCGCTCCGCTTTTTTCAATTCAATTGTTCAGGTTCCACCAGTTGATTATAGCCGGTCACGTGGTTGTTAAAGTAAATAAACATACCCTGGTTGTCTCTTCCGGCACTGGCAACAAGTTTTCTCCGGCAACGACTGAGTAAGCACTGGGTGTAATAATGTTCTAGCGACGGGTAGGCGCTCCATTTGGAGAAGAAAATGGGAGGCTTCTATTGTCTGGACTCTCAGTTGAGAAGATCCGAAGCTTCTTCCCTGGTAATTCCTTTGAGCGTCATGTGTACTCCGTTGATGGAGTTCATCGAGCTTCCTTTGCTCCCTTACGACCCTCTTGTCTGCAGTCACTGTGGCGCTGTTTTGAACCCTTACGCACGTGTCGATTACCAATCATGACTATGGGTTTGTCTATTTTGTTATCAGAAGAATCCATTTCCTTGCTCTTATGTTGGGATTGGAGAGAACAATCTCCTTGCCGAGCTTTTCCCGACTTACAGCACAGTTGAATACCATGGTTGGAAGGGCTTGGGCCTTGGATTCTTCGACTTCGACTTTTCCGGTGTCGTATACGATCGTCGAAATCAACTTTTCTGGTGGCACATTCCCTTGACACCACTGTGTGAGGGAGCTGGTTTTTGGATTCTTTGTAAATGCAAGTATGAACAGTGGTTCTCATTTGCATTGGTCGAAATAGATGATAGATTATTTTCATAATTTTAATCAGTAATTCATTCATTATTCGAATTATTTAAGGGTATTTAGGACTTTTTATCTTTTAATTATGGAAAATTTAATGCCCAGTATCAAATTGTCACAAATTGAAAGTTCAGGTACTAGTTTATCCTGATTTAAAGTATGGGTATTAAATTAGCACTCGACCTAAAGTATAAGGTAGGTATTGGAAATTTTCTCTTCCTTAATTGGCTATGTAATAGGTTGAACGCACTGTTAACACTCCATTTTTCTCAAATTTCCAAAATGAACTATCATCTGATTTTAGAATAAAGATTGCTTCGAAAGAGTAAACAACGTCTATAGGAAGCCATTTGGCTGAGAACATCATTGTTCCAGATCTTGGAGGAGGGCATGATTGCTTCACTCACCCTCTGATTAGGACAACTAACTGTACCAAGTAGCCAAATTTCAATCTCTTAGGTGGTGTTTGTAGTTTGATAAATATGAAATCCGAAATCTAAAAAGTTAAAAGGATATTAAAAATGTCTTGAATTTGAAAAGAGACATAATTATTTTTTGACTTTTTGGAGGTTTTAAATAAAGATTGTTTGTGTTGGATCAAACTCGTGGGCATCTAAAATTCATTAATTTTATTACTTTATCCCTAAAATATGCTATTCCGTAATTTTGAGTTTAATTTGCATTAAAACAGAATCCATGTTTGACTTCTAAACCTGGTGTGGTCCAATTTTTTTCTAAAATTATAAAAAGTGCCCCTTAAGATTTCCAAAATTTTGAAACTGCCCGTTGGCCCTAATATAAATGCTGACCTAACTTTCCTGACCTCTATTTGTCATTGCCGCTTGCAAGGGCAAATTGGATCAAAATCCCTCTTCTCACCTTCTTCCCCCATTCCCTCCTTCATCTCTCTTTCCCACTGTCCCTCTTAACCATTCGAATTTTGGAAAAAAGGAGTGTTCATCGTCTTTTTTCTTCGACGCAAATAGAGAAGCGGCAAACCCTACTCCGACCTCCTCTTCCTCCATCAGACCTCTCTCTCTTGCCCTCTCCCAATTTCTTTCTTCTCTCTCAATCTTCTTTCTCTCTCTCCAGTTTTTGCCGTTGAAATAATCATGATGAACAGAGCACCGTCGTTCGATGCTTTCCACCTCCTTCGTTCTCTCTTTTTCTAGACGTTCCTTGTCACAACATCTCTACTAAACCTCCATTAATTCCACCCATTAATCCGCCTCGTCTTCATCTCTGCGAGTCCTACTTGCTTTGGAGAGCAGTGCCTCTGTCCCAAGCTTTTCCACTATGAGACCGACAACATTGATCGTAGAAGGACCCACACAATAATAAGAGGTGATCCCGGTTGCTCGTTCGTCTTCCCATCATATCAATTCAGATCAAATTTGGGGGAGGCCTTCCTCCAACACAGACAACACTAATACACTGTAGTCATCACTGTGACACTGCCAACCAAGACATGAGAACCCTCAGTTGTAGCGGCGATGCTGGGAAGAGAGAGAGAGAACTGCTGTTGTTGAGATTTGAAGTGAAGGTGGTGAAAAGACGGGGAGAGATTGAATAGAGTTTTTATTAAATTAAAATAAGGGTATTTTTGACTTTAGGTCATGTCTAAAACGTGTTTGAACGCATTAAGTGATGAACTTAGGTCTTATAATTTTATATCGTATTTCAGGTACAATACCAAATGAGCACGGCATCCGAAAAGCAGATATTTCAGACTTCAAAGGTTTGAAAAGTGTTATCAAACATCACCTTACATTTTGCTCGTGGTGTAAACCCTTGTTGATGTAAAAGTCCACTGGTGGTTCAGTTTTATTGGTGTTAATTTGTAGTGTAAATCAAGATTGATGTAAAACTTCACTCATAATTCAGATTTGTCAATATTTGGATGGAGTGGAGTTTTACATCGTAAATTGATGTAAAATCACATTTATAGTACATCGATTATTGATGTAAATTTTGTCGATGTAATATTATATCGATAATTACATTTTTCGGAGCTAAATGGTTTAGAGATTTTAAACTGTTTGGTATGAAACTCCATTGATGGACTTCTACATTAATGAGGTTTTACACACAAACAAATGCAACCTTAAGACATGCTTGAGTAAAAGGAATTCCAATTTGCTCCTCACAAAGCGGGTTCCATGCCAATCCCATAACAAATTGCAGCCTTGCATTGAGAATATCTCCCTATGAATGACAACATATAAATTTGGAAGATGTTCTCAATGTACAATTGCAAGTTGTCAGTGTGAGTCGTGCTCTATGAAGAGCAAATCGGATTCAGGTGAAATAAAAACTTTTGATGAATGACCTCCGAGTCTGGACCCACTCCTCAAAGAGCGCCTTGATCTCTGGGAGCTAACTGTGCCTGACCCACCACGAAATCTAACCAAGATGTTCCCAATGTACAGCTTTAATGTCCTGTGGGTAGATGCGGGTAAGATCCTTGTGGGCAGGAGACCCGAGCTCTTCATTTATTTTATTTGTCATCATAAAGCAATTTTCATTAAGAAACTAGATAAAAAAATACATATTCATTATCCAGTTCCCATATGAAGGGAGTTTAAATGGGCTCCCCCAAGACGCGCTGTGGGGAGCCCATCTGAACTCCAATGGATGTGCATCAAACCCAGACTGAAAATTGCCTCCAGCTCAACTGCAAGTTGGGATAGGATTTAGGTGCATTGAAGATTTAACACATTTCCAACCCAACCCGACCCAAATTGCACCCCCACAGTTCACGCTCCGGATTTGGCTGTTTGGCTCCAAAAAAAGAGATTACATCTGCGCAGCGTCTCATAAACGCCCCACATGCACATCTCAGCGTGCATTGGAAACATCTCCCAAAAGCATAGTGGGAGATGTTCCCAATGCACGGTTGAGATATGCCCTCTGCCGTTTGTGGGACGCAGATGTGAAATCCTAAAAAAAGTCATTATTCTTTGCAGTATACAAAGGGAGCGCGAGAGGCGATATACCCGATGTCCGGGTGGATGTTATGTGAACAGAGTTTAGGCTCTGATTAAAACGCGATGAAATTGGCGCTCACAGCACCTCCCACCCGTGTATTAGGAATATCTCCCATGCACGCTGAGATATGCACGTGGGGGGCCAATCTCATCTCGACCAAAATGATGAAGTCATATATAATCACGTGAATTAGACTATCTGGGTGCCTCCGCTACCAACTCCAAGGTCCAGTGGACAGTGGGCAAATATTGTGCCGTTAACAACTGACAACCTCAACGGTCCAATTTCACAATTCAAATTTCCAACGGTCATCATCACCAAGCATTTTTCTCTCTTTTCTCCTACTACTCGTCATACTAGTAAAAACAATCTTATCAGAGTTAAGGAGCGCGAATTTTTTGTTGAAGGGAAAAGGGAAGCAAATCCCAATGGATGTTCTTATTCCTAACAACAATTTCTCGTCCTCCATCCCAGTCAAACCTTACACGATTCCGAAAATCACAGGTAACTAAGCATGCCATTTCATTTTCCTCTTTTCTTTTCTTTTTTTTTTTTTAAATCACAGTTAAACCTATGGTAGGTTTCGTTGACTTGATTTTATTTCCATTCTCATTCATTCTTCCTTTTCACGGGTTTCAGATTTGCAACAAAAGATCTGTTACTCGAATGATGGTGGAGAGATGGACGAGAATGACCGAAGCTTTCACCATATGGATTCAACACCGCAGATTCCAAACACATTAGCTGCAAAGGACTTCAAGTCGCCGACGATTTTCCCCACTTCAAAAGTTCCTTTGCCAAGAAAAAAGATCTTGGTCGAGAGAAGCGATGCCTCCGGACCGTTTTCCTCCAATTCTCATGCTCCACAAACCCCACATGCTGTTGCAGACGCCATTTCTGCAGATTCAGGTTCCGAAACTCGCCGTAGCTATTCATCTCAAGTCACAAACTTGTCATCGAGTGTTAATGAAACAGATGAAGATGAGCAGAAAACTTCTATTCCGGAATCGTCTTCGCAGCCTTACGATCCTTTCACGAATTCTCTCTCCCCAAGACCCAAGTTCCTTCGATACAACCCAAACAGGCGACTTGAAATTTTCCTTCGCAGAGAAAACCAACTGGCAAAAGCCAAAGACGAGTTGGGAGGCAATCGATGTGCTTCTCTCGAGACTCAGAAACCAATTGAAGGGGAAGTTTTGAGTGACGACGCTTCTGCTTCTGCATTCTCTTCTTCCTCAGGAGAGAGTTCTATGAAACAAGAACACGGATCTAGTCCATGCACAACTAACTTGGAGCCAAAGCCACCTGAAGATGTAGAAAACAACGGAAGGGAGGATGGAGATGACGATTTTGAAGAGGTCGAGGAGGGAGACAGACACTGGCATTTCAAAGAGGTACTAAAATCTTTGCTTCTCTTTGGCGTTCTGATCCTTTCTACCTTGTACATATCCTCCATGAACTCTCCCACTCCTCCCCCTTATGTTCGAGCTTTACAAGACCTCAGAGAAGGCTACCAGAAGATTCAGAGCCATCTCATCCGAGCTTCTGTAGAGAACTTTAGATGGGGTAGTAGTTTCATACATCAAAAACAAGGAAATGCTGCTTTAGACATAACAGAAGCAAATGACATAACTAGTTACGAGTGTAATGAGAAGGAAGAGATGGTTAAACAGGATATGGAAATAATGTCGGAGGTTGCTGGTAAGAAGGATGAAGTGTTGAACCAACAAGGTACAGAAATTGGACATATTTCTGTCAATGAATTGGGAGAACAAGTAGGGGAGGATATGGAAGTAATGCGGGACGTTGATGGTAAACAGGACGAAGTGTTGAGCCAACAAGGTACAGAAACCGGACAGATTTCTGTTCATGACTTGGGAGAAGTAGGGGAGGACATGGAAATACTGTGGAACGTTGATGGTAAGAAGGATGAAGTGTTGAGCCAACAAGGGACAGAAACTAGACATATCTCTGTCCATGAATTGGAGGAAGCAGGGGAGTATTCTGATCGCACAGATGAAGTGTTGGATGGGGTTGACCAGTTAAATTCAGCATTTGTTATTTCAAGTACTTCAGAGGAAGATAGGAGTTTAGACAGCGAGAACCCCAATGCTGACTTAGCTTCCGAGATTGAACCACCAAAATATGAAGTCGTCGCAGAAGTAGTTGAGAGAGATACCGATCAGGGTACGGGAGAAGAAACGGTGGTTTATCCTGCAATGGAGGAAGTTGGGAATGTTCCTAGTGGCACTGGCGAACCCGTTTCACTACAAGGTAGAGAACCTGTTGAAAATACAGCTTCGGATATTTCCAGCGTTCCTGCAAAAGAGGAAAACTCACCGCATAAGAAAAAAGTTGCTCTTGGATTTTCTGTGATTTTGGTATCTACTCTTTTGGGATTTCTCCATCTGAAGCGTAGGAAGACGTCTGCAGAGGATACTAGACTGATGGTTCAACCTTCTTCTGAATTAATGGTAATAGATAACCACAAATCACCACCTCCCCAGACAGAAGACCACGTTCTGAAGGCGGACTCTGGCGTTTATCTCTCATCTTCAGTTCATTCTGAGGACAGAGTCTTGAGAGAGATCAATCGAAGTCAGGCACCATCAGTCAAATTTCTGGGAGAGTTTGTGGTGGGAGAGGTTGGTAGCTCTATCAAGAGCTGTGATCTGAAGTCCCAGAGGATAGAAGGCGAAGAGAGCTATGTTTCTGTGTCTCAAGAGAAGAAATTTGAGAAGCAGGTTATTTCTTCTGAGCAGGGAGAGCTCAGTAGTTCTATCAAGAGCTGTGGTCCGAAACCCCAGAAGACAGAAGGTGAAGAGAGCAACTTCTCTGTGTCTCAAGAGAAGAGGTCGAGGAGGCAGGTCCTTTCATCTCCTAAGCAGTCACGCCAGTCTCTTTCAGATTTCTCGGTCACAAAGTCCCCATCATATGGAAGTTTTACTGCTGAGGAGAAACTCGTGAAGAAAGAGGTGAGAATATACAATTGCAGTCAAGCTATTCTGGTTTCAATAAAATGGTTTATAGAAATTCTAATTGCTCATCTTTTTTTTTTTCCAATAGATGCACTCATTCTCACCTCCATCTTCATTTAACCAGGTAGTCTAGGCTGCTATGTTCATGTAACGAATGTCATTTGAATATAAACCACGTTTAACATGTAGGCATTTCTCCAGATTCACACATACCTAGATGTCCATGAAAATAAAATAAAAACTCAAACTGGATTTTGGAACATGCAAACTAGCTTTACATGGTGAACATCCTTCTGTAAGCAGATGATCAATAGAAAGCACTCTAGAAAGACTTCGCTCAAATTTTAAATTGCATCTTAAGTCAGTTGGAAAAACATCTTTAAGGTTAACCATGGGCATACCTAGATGTCCATGAAAAATGGACACACCTAGATGTCCATGAAAATAAAATAAAAAATCAAACCCCATGAAAATAAAATAAAAAATCAAACCGGATTTTGGAACATGCAGACTAGCTTTACATGGTGCACATCCTTCCGTAAGCAGATGATCAATAGAAAACATTCTAGAAAGACTTTGCTCAAATTTTAAATTGAATCTTTGGATAAACATCTTTAAGCTTAACCACAGGATAGCTTTAGGTGAAATATTTGACCAAATTTTACAACATAGTGGCACTTTGAAGCTGTTTCCTATATAATTAGAATACTGCAGATCTTTTTTTTTTTCTTATTGAAAATTTGAATTGGACCTCAATTCATCCCCCCCTATTGTGATGATAATTTTTAAGTGAAAAGGCTGACCTAAAATGATTCTTATCTTTTTCTTATTGAAGTTTTAGATTGCATTTCATGGAAAATAGTTTTTGTTCTGGTGATGATCGCCAACTCGAATGATTCTTTTGAAAAAAAACATCACCTTACTACAGTTTTTTTTCATTAATCAATTCTTTTTCATTAATCAATTCTCCCTTTTCTTAAGTAGTGGCACTTTGAAAAAAAACATAGTGGCACTTTGAAAAAAAACATCGCCAACTCGAATGATTCTTTTTCATTAATCAATTCTCCCTTTTCTTAAGTAGATTTACATACATATCATCAGAATTATGACTTCTTATTCAATTTCACAACAAGGGATACTTTCCCGTTTTTTTGTTAAAATAGTTACCTTACTACAGTTTTTTTTTTTCCTTATTATGAAACAGGAGGGTAGAAACGGAGAAGAGATGATGAAGAAGGTCACAACTCCAGTGAGGCGATCCAGCCGGATACGCAATCGTACAGTCATGTCTCCATGAATAATGTGATTGCAAGCTGACCCTAGGGTGTATTTTTCTGAACTGTGATTCAGAAACAAACAGCTTCCAGTTGTTTCATGTTCCTAGTTCCTACCATTTCCTAGTGTTTTCCTAATATTTCTGAACTGACCCTAGGGTGTATTTTTCTGAACATGTGGGGTGTATTTTTCTGAACTGTGATTCAGAAACAGCTTCCAGTTGTTTCATGTTCCTAGTTCCTACCATTTCCTAGTGTTTTCCTAATATTTCTGAATTGTATACTATCTTTAACCTGTTTGACCTGGCTAATTTTTATTCAAAGAAATCAATTGCTGATAATTCTTAATGGCATTGTTCAACACTGACCATTTTCTTCTCCATTTTACATTTTCTGTGCCAAACAAAAGTAAGATTCAAGTTATTTTATTAATCATATCATCTGTCATTGTTGCATATTTTCATTAACTGTTTTTTATGGGTATTCATATAGCTTTCTGTTCTGTCATTGCCAAGAACATGTAATTGCATTGCTTTTGGAACCTTATGGCCCAGGAGGAGAAAGTGCTTGCCTCTAAAATTATATCTTTTATCTTCTTTGTTGTCAGCATGGGGTGGCCATTCCTATTGCTTTACTTCTGCATGTACTAAATTGTTGTTTCAGACAACAAACAAGTGGAAAGCCTTTAAATAACTGGGGCATTTTCTACATTGTCTCGGTTCCTTTTGTTATTTGATAGTCATGAATTACAAAATTGCAGCTATGCGTTTTTTTTATCTGAAATAATGATCGTACATTCATACTTTAATTCGTGGAGAATTGGTAAAATGCAAGCTCTTTCTCGGAAACGGCATTGTACATGGAAACCACAAAAAGGGCATAAAAATAGCTTTTCAAAGCCGATTTTGATTTAATTATGCTCAAATAATAACCCCATTTAAAACTGTTTCTTGTATTTACGGGATTAGTTGCTCCAAGGATTGCTGATGAGCTCTTGCATTTCAAAAACGACGCACTCTTCTATGTTTTGTTCGTAGAAAGAAACATAAATAGATTGATGCAATAGATTTCGTGCCAAACATGAATATGCAATATGCAAGCACATTCAGGTGATAATGTTCAATGAGAATTTGCAATTCATGGTCTCTCAATAAAAACAGACAAGCCCAAGGAAATAGAAAATGAGGTTTTCTGGTACGGATTAAGTGTCATTCCACTGTAGTGACAGGCTAATATAATGGCAGATCTATCGTTTGCAGAAGATTTTTTGATTGATTCTCTTAAAAGCTTTTGTTTTGTTTCCTTTTATTTTGTCTATGAGGATAGTGTGTTATGTTAAAAATGCACTCTTGGGAAGCTCAGTCCTATTGATGAATCATGAATCTGCATTTTTGTTGACGAAACTTAAATGGTCTAAAATCTGAATCTGAGAGATGTGAATATATGATGTAAAAGAGAGAGAGAGAGAGGAAATGATAAAGAGGCTCAAAGCTTCAAGGGAAGCTGTCATAACTCACACACGCATCGTTTGTCTCCTAAATGCAGCGATTGCACCATAGATTTTGCTGGTAGGTCATTTCTCTGGTTCCCGTCTACGGTAATTGTTGACAGTATAAATAAATGGGTGGAATAATGTCGATAATAAAGTTCTAACAACCATGCACAAAAATAAATAAACACTCTGGTCCTTAAATATTGTCAAACATCTCCTTTTATAAAACCATATAATTCTGCTTTAATAAATCTTTTATCTTGCTTATTTCTTCGCACAAAACTGTTTAGTGTTCATAAAGATTTTCCAATGTTTTTTATTCATATTTTTGTTCTCTAGAGTCTAGATTTTTTTTTCAGGTTTTCATTCGTGAGGACCAAATGGTTGGTTTGGATAGACAAAATCCAATGGTGTGGGTCTTGTAACAGCGGCCTTAATAATTATTACAAGTTTACAACTTTGACATTACCTATTTTCGGTTACTGGAATCCTTGGAATGGGCTTGGCAAATCAACCAAGTGAGGCAACCTATGTCTCATGCTTCCTCATTTCAATTTAAAGTGACAGGTTTTCCTTTTATACTACTGTGAGGTGCATAGCTGATAGTTCAATCAAGCATGGATCATGGACTACTAATTAGCTAATTGTCTATTGATTCCCTGAATTCTCGAGGGTCACTTCATGACATTTTCATTCCTTTTTTTGAGGAGATAACATTTTCCTTCTTGCTTATTTAATTAATTTACCTGATGAATGTCGTTTTTTTTTTTGCTACAAAATATTACCATGTATCTAAGGGTGTCAATGGACCAGTTTTGGACTAGATCCCATCCAGTTCAAAATCAATTTTGACGGATTGGATGGACCAACAAGACATTGGATTGGACCAATCCGTTCCACAATATTTATTAGATTGGACTGGACCTGGTCCGTCCATAATAAATTTATATTGGATTCGATTGAATTGGACCGGTCCAAGATAGTCTAAAATATTCATTGGATTGAATTGGACCTAGTCCATTTGTAATGGACTCACATTGGACTGTATCAGATTGGACCACATCCAGTCCAATTGACACCCACATGTATCAAAGATAAACTTTAAAACCTTTTTCTATGGATATTTAGAATTCAAAATATGTAAAATATTTTAACAACATTTTTTTTCTAGACATTTCAAGTTCTTTCCTTCCCCTTTTTTCTCAGTAAGACACCCAAACACGTGTCAGATTCTATTCTTGTGTCTTTTTGTCCGTTAAACTTGCATGATCAGATTCTGTTCTCATGGGTAAGAGATCCAGAGTCATCAGTAGTCAAACGGGCTCACACTGCTCCTTACACCGACCTGACATCATATTTCAACTGCACATTGGGAACATCTCCCATACTTGTATGTTATTATTCAGAGAGAAATTTCTATTACACGGTGGGATGTGGCTGTGAGATTGGTGTGAAGAGCAGATCCGAAATTCGTACTCCTCACACCGACCTCGAATCATGTTTCAGTACACGGTGGGATGTGGCCATCGGTTTGAGGAGCAGATCTCAATTTGTCAAACGGTGAGGCCAATTCGTTCGTATTGCAGAAAAAATATACTCCTTGCTTTCAACATATTCAGTAATAATTCTTGCTGTTCAATGTATGTCACATACAGGGGGTTTTGTTTTTTGTTTTTTTTGACAAAAGAAACATCGTAACCTTCATTCATATTGAGAAAATTTACATGAATAGAGTTTAAAGAGTTATAGTGCAGAATTAGCTGGCCCTTATAGGGAGTTCTAGCATTGTTTGCACTTTGCACAGATCATACTTGAATGCGCTACCCGGACTTAGAGCAGTATAAAGTATAAACCAAGGTTGAAAGTATCGAAACAGGCCGATACGCCTGCGTCAGTACTTTTTTTTAAGTTTGATTTTTTATTTTTTTAACCTGGTTCAGAGGGGTCGGTTTAAGGCCCGACCACCCTTTGAACCAGTGTCTGACCCGATACAACCCCTGGAGGAGTGTATCGGTAACCCATCGGCATGATACGTATCAGCGATACTTTGAACCTTGGTATAAACGGAAACCCGGAAAAGTTTCAAAACCCAGAGACAATCAAATGACACAGTAAGCAAGGGAAGAACTACCGAATCAGATTACGAGTCAGTAATATACCTCACCTCGCTGCAAACAGCAAACCTGAAAGATGTGGAAGTCCCCTATTGGCAGAAAGAAGCAAAAGACGTATAAATACTCATTCTCTGGGATGACTCGTCCCACTACTAACTACTTGTATCCTAATACCGTCTTTTCTTTTTCCAGAAATTAATGGAGATAAAATAATAAAAGAGATGGAAAAATAATAGCTTCCAAATCCTGAGCAACCCTTCCACTCTTAACATGCTATACAACCTAGACAAGGGCTATTCAGGAAATTCCTAAACAATGGGTATAACCTAAAAGCTCATTATCATCATCCTCGGGGAGAGTAACATTTCACCTCCCAGAACATAATATACAATTTCCTACAACTGTCATGCATATATACAATGAGCCACCCAGACGTGTCATCCTTGATCTTTACTTCCACACCTTGATGGCACCATCTCTACTGCTTGATATCAACAGTTTCTGATTCAACTTGACAGAAGCAAGAGATAGAATGGAGTCGCGGTGGCAACCTGCAGGATCAGTTGCAGCAGACGCAAGGAGAGCTTTAGGTGTCAATTTGGTTGCTGGAGATCGCCTGTTTGTCTCCTGTTTGCCACAAAGTGAACAATATTTTTAAGCTGCAAGAAACTACAGTATTCTTTCCCAAGCAGACAACCGTTCAACATGAACGCCTGAGCTAAGCAATTCAAGAATGCTCTCATACCGTGGGTATCAGTGTATCACGGAATATATAATAGAAATTATGAAAGGCCCCCTCACTTTCTTAATGTTTGGTAAATAATTGCTTTCAAAAACAACAATCTAAAGCTGAAACACTTTTAAGCACCAAGCATAAAGTCTAAATTTGGGGCTCTGTGCTTTTGGGCTTTACCTAAATTGGCCAAGAAAGTATTTGCTGTATTAGTTAGTTTTTTTTTTTTCTTATGAATTGGTAATGATAAAGTGAGAGAAATAATGATCGAAGACTTGACACAAGTGTTATAGCTGTAGCCTCTAGCCACCCAAGAAGAGAAGTGGACTTAAGACTGAACTACTACATGCCACTCCCTTGAAATGACCTTTACATTTTAGGTGGAGCAGCAGACGAGTAGGCAATAGCAAGTTAGCAACCAGCAAAAAGGGTTAAGTTCCAGGGAGTCGACCACTTTCTAAGATAATTTAAAAGTCAACCATATTAACATGTTCTTCTATATTAATGTTTTATTCTTCTTTTTTTTTTCAAACGAGTAATCTTTCTTTGTTCAGGCACACACCTTCCCTTGAGCCTTAGTTGTGCGTGCGGTGCCTTTCACTTAAAAAAATCACAAATTTGATTCTAGCTTTCCAAAATCCAGCAACATAAAAAAGTCAAAACCCAATCTTTCAGAACCCAAGAGTAAAGTCTGACATACCTGCACTACCTGCACTCCAAAACTGGATCTGGTTTCATAAAATTCACCATTTCCAATTCCCTTCAGTGAAGGTCCACAAACAGAATAACTACGATCAGGACTGCAAAACGATGATGAAAAGTTGATCAGACCAAAGAACTTTGATAACAAAGACAAGGAAAAGGAATTCAAAAAGAAACCTGCAATGGTCCCAGCGACGTATCTTAAGGTCAGTCCCTCCGGTCAACAAATCTCCTCCAGGTAGGGGAAGCAGTGAACGGACACCAGGGAGACGATGGGGAGGTTCATTCAATTCATCAACTCGGTACTTAGGATTGAAACTTCGTCTCAGATCTTGTTTCAGACTGGCCAGGCTGGAAGGCCTGGCTAAGGCCCAAGGAAGATCAGAGATTTCAGCATCACTGTCATTGTTTGATAGTCTGAACACCTGCAAAAAAGAGTAGAAAGACCAAAAAAAAGTTTAAATGTGTTGGAATCAGAATATAGCAAAAGACAAACTTTCAAGTACCTGATGGCAGCTACCATTCTCCGCATTCCAGAGGGAAACTTCATTACAGCCTGCTGCTACATATACTAGGGGCCTTGCTGTAGCAGATGATGAAGCACTTGGAGGGGGAATAAATAGACACAATTTCTCTATGGGGCATACCAAAGAATACTGCCATGAATTAACTGGTATGAGGAACCTCAGATCCCAAAGAGTAAGAACACCCCTTGAAGAGCCTGAAACAAACCAATTACCACAAGCACCTGTCACCAGAGAAGATACAAAGCCCTCCTCAGGAGATGCTTTCAATGTCCATGCTGTTGAATTAGTTCTTGTATCCCAAAGATGGATTCCACATCCCCTGGTGCTGTACATAATAGTTTGACTGGCACATCCATCAGTTGTGTAATTTAACAGGCTGAGAATGGCCCCTTCCCCAACCTCCCTCTTCTTGATGTCTGTAATACCTGAATACTTCTCAACAACACTGCCCAAACCTCTGGATATGTAATCAACAGAGAACATATGTATTGTTCCATCACATGCTCCAACAACAACTTGTGCAGACCCCCGTAGCATTGCAGCACATAGTGCACGGCTTCCATCTAGAGAGTAAGTCAACCTAGACCTAAAAGATATATCCTTTTCCAACTTTCGGGTATCCCATACCTTAACAGTAGAATCATCAGATGCACTCACAAAAAAGCTGTGATCAGTGGAAATGGCAATCTCATTGACAGCGGAACGGTGCTCCTGGAGATGTGCCACAAGCACACCACGAGGCCTCCATCCTGTGTCTGGGACAGATGCTGCTCGACCAAATGCTGTTAGACCAGTAGTATCAGTTTGTGAAGAGGCATCTTCCATGTTTATGGATGAGCTTCCTTTTCGCATGCCTGATAGGCCAATGTCTTGAAACTTGTTGCTGATATAGGTCATTTGCTCATTTTCTCTGCCTTCTTCTCTCACAACTTTGTAGAACTGTTTAGAGCCACCACCAATGCTGAAGGAACCTGAAACAAGCTTGGGAGCTGTAACTGAACTAGCCAAGCTAAATGATTTATTGACTGGATCTATCCAAGGCATGGATGATGAACTAATCCCCAGTGAGTTCCACTGTGATGAAGAATCAGATCCTGCAGAAGCATGCCCAGCTGCTTGCTTGTCCATGTTAAAAGAATACAAAGGTATACCTTCAGATGATCCATCACAAATAAAACTATTTCCACCACTAACATGTGGAGTTATAAAGCCAGAAAATTGCAACTTTTCTGAACATAAAGGATCTCGAACATCAATTGCACTAGAAGCAGTAGGCATGAAGCTTCCTGTTGCTCTTTGTTTAGTCTCGGTATCATCACCCTCAGGTATCCCTACTTGTGGAATACCACTATCAACAGGTTTTTGACCTGGAAAATCAGATTGTCTACCAGGCCAACTCTTAATGGGATTCAATTCCCCCATCCCTCTTTTGTTCAATTCCTCGGCCTCCCATTGCTTTGACTGTGCAGATGGATTGTACCATATCTTTCTCTGTCTCTCTAACATGTCCGAACTCCTAGCATTGTGTAAGACTTGGTAGAATACTTGTCGTGAGACTGGTGGCTTGAGACATGAAAGGAGGGACTTTTCTGAAGCTAAAGATGCCGGCTGTCTTCGGAGGAAAGGGCGTATAACTGGAGCTAGGTAAACATACGAATCTACAGCACCCAAATTATCACTACTAGCTGCAATAAAAGTGACCACTGACCTTCTTACCCACTGACTGGGGTAACATAGCAATGGGAAAGCACGTTCAATCATTTCAAGTAATATCCTCTTCCGCAAGAAATTACTTTTGCACAGCATAGCTAAACATTCCAATGCATTAACAATGACTGCCTCCATTGGATCACTTAAGGCCTGTTCAATATAAGGCAAAAGATATTCTTCTACACTTCTTTGACCTATGAAAAAGCATACAAAAACAATCTGTCCATAGAATACAGCCCTTAGCTGCTCATCCCGGTCATTTAGAAAAGCAGGAAGAATAGGTAAAAGAAAGTCATTACTCTGCCTCTGACCAAAGAAGCAACAAAGATTTCCAATGTCCTGTAGGAGGGCTCTCCGGATATTTGGAGTTTGCCTTGGGCCCATTACCAGTTCTTGGACAACCTCAGCTATGGACTTTCGCAACTGAGCAAGCTGTGCATCACAGCTTTCACTCTGCAGTCGACCAGAAGTCTCAATAGATGAAGTTGATGATTTATCAGATAGACTCAATTTGTCAAGAACCCCTGCCTCACTCAAGCTTAGTGAGTGATTCAAGAAACGATAAGCAGTTAATGCAAGCTTGGAGATATTGCTAGCATAACAAATCCGTACACTCTCTTCTGGATCATCTGGAAGCATAGATAACATAGGAAGAATATACTCTGGAAAAATTTTTGCATCACTGGGAGGGAAATCCTTAACTAATGGCAGAATGTCACACAAGGTCTCTAAGGCAGCACAGCGCACAATTGCAGCTGGATCAGAAAGCATCACAATTACATATGGAAGCACACGCTGCAAGCGGTCTTCATCATCAATATACAAGGAAGAAGACTTAAGCAGAAGGACAGCCCCTCTCCGCAGTTGTGGCAATTTAACGCTACGTATGCAGGAACAAAGCAGTGAGGCAATCAGGACCATACCTTCACAGCTCATAGTACGTCGGGGAATAGGAGAGAAAGGGATTCCAAAAATATCTGTTTGGCTATCATACTCAAACATCAATGAGTTCAAGTCGCTCTTCATAATCTTCCTTAAATAAGGGTGATCACTTCCCTTAAATCCATTAGGAATACTTTGAAGGGCTCGCCCTGGAGAATGCCCACTGCAGTGCCCTGGATTTTGGATAGATATAGCAGAACTTGCATCAGAACTTCCAGAAGCAGCACTAGCCACTGGCTTAGTATTAGAACAGTGATTACTTTGTTCCACATCCTTAAGGAGGGAGTTGATATCACCAATAAGTAACTGATCACTGAACAAGCCTTTCTCTAATTCTGCTCTCTTCCTCAAGGAGTCTTTTGCTGTACTAAAGTGTTCCTTTGCATTGTCCATCTGTTTGAGAGGTTCTCCATTTAAGGAATTTGAAGGTGTGCATGGTACAGGGCATATATCCTCATTTGTGTTGTTGCTCATCATTTGCTTATGTATCTCATGGAAGGCACTTTGCGTAACTGCAACCTAGAACATAAATAAAAACTAATAATAAATGATAGAAAAGGTGTAGCTAAGGCCTGCCTATAATAAAGTAACTGGAAATTTCTCATCTAACCAACTAAAGTTTCTTACCCTTGTATCAGAATCAAGAGGAATCAAGCAGGAAAAGAAATTATGAAGAAATGGTGAGAAGAAACTAGGAAACACAATGCTTGCATAATTCTGTAGGTAGCCCTCAGCAGGCAGGCGTGACTCTGGATCCAACTGAATCATATGAAGAATCATCTTTCGGATTCCAGCATCTGGAATCTGCACGTGAAAAAACATACAATATGAGAAGAATAATAATATACTGGAGTTCGATGAAAAAAAAGACATGGACATGGACATACATATATTGCCCTTTCTGGTACCTTGGTTAAATAATCTATAATATGGGAAAGATTGAGGATGTCACCCATAGAACTAGAGTGGGATGGGCGAAATGGAGGGGTGCATCTGGAGTCCTATGTGATAGGCAAATATCACTTACATTAAAAGGAAAATTCTATAAAATAGTTGTAAGGCGAGCTATGCTGTATACAGAAGAGTACTGGGAAGTCAAGAAACATGTCCAAAAAATGAGTGTGGTAGAAATGTGTATGCTGAGACGGATGAGTGGAAAAACTAGAAAGGATAGGATCAGAAATGAAGTCATTCAAAAACCCAGGAATAGCTCCAATAGATGACAAAATGAGAGAAATTTTAGACTAAGATGGTTTAGTTATGTGCATAGAAATACAGCACCCGTAAGAAGCGATCTGTTACAAGTTGAAGGGGTTAGAAGGGCTAAGGGCATATATACATATGGATGGATGGATAGATAGATAGATAGATGCAACCCACTTTTTCAAGGTGTTGGCTAGGATCATATTGCCCTCTACGATATGCAAGTAGCTGTGATAGTTCAAATAATGGCTGCCCTTCAAGAAAAAGCTCTGCAATAACACATCTGAAAAAGGTAGCAAGATAAAATACAAACTGAGTAATAAAACTAGCAAGAATTCAGGTTTATATAATAGTGCAACTGCACAAGGTTAACACAAAATATTTACAGAAAACAGTATTCACAAGTCCCATCCCGACATAGATAATGCTTTAGATGCAAGTTAAAGAAAAAAATTAATTCCTTCTTCAAATCATTTTCTTTAACAAAATCACTATTCATAACTGTATTCCATTCAATTTTTCACATTCTGCAGCATCATTTGATCACAATTTTATGATACAAAATATACCATGTAAAATATAAAGATGATCTCATCCTGCTGACAAGTGTACTGAATAATGGAGAAGAGACATACAGACATCTATTGAAGGTTGTGTAGCTTCCTACAACTATTCGAAAACCCTTACTTAGTTGTTTAGGTACTAATAGAGTAGGGATGTTATTTAAGTTGAAACAAATGAGTTTAAGGTTGGTTTTTAGGGGTGAACCCAAGGAAGGTGGGGGCCCCCAAAGACACTCCTCTTGACAATAAATCCGATTGAAACATGAGGAAGTAGAGAAGAGAAGGAAAGAAGAGAAAGGAGAAGGAAGAAAGGAAGAAGAAAAAGTTTGGAGCAATAGAACAGTGCTGGCGGCGTCAACTTTTATTATATTATATAGGGCAGGGAAAAGACCCTTGTGCCCCTGCTGTAAGTGAGTACAAATAACAGAAATAAAAAAAAAATGCTTTAACTAGCCAAACAGACCCTAACACAAATAACTAAATTGTTTCAACACTCCCCCTCAAGTTGGAGCATAGATGTCAATCATGTCCAACTTGTCACACAAATCATTGTGCCGCACATGATGAAGACCTTTGGTGAAGATATCTGCAAGTTGTTCTTCTGAGCTGACATATSGWBTRCACAMTTCTCCATTTACAAGTTTCTCTCTAATAAAATGCTTGTCCACTTCAATGTGTTTCGTCCTATCATGCAGGATTGGATTAGTAGCAATATTGATGGCA